TGGCAGAGTTATTATTGAAAGAATTAGAGCAAAACAGCAGGATCCTAGATCATATTGAAGCATTTAAATGAATATTATTAAGGTAAAGGTGAGTAGGTTTTCATTGCATTCATGGATTTATAAAAGGCATATGATAGAGTGGATATGGAAACAATGCGGCAGATGTTGAAAGTGTATGGAATAGGGGGTAGGTTAAGAGGTTTTTTGGCGGTTAATGAGGTGCAGGTTAGGGTGTGTAGGATGGGGGAGATTATTTTCCAGTAAAAGTAAGCTTTAAGAATGTGCGATGTCACCATGGCTTGTTTAACATATTTATAGATGGGGTTGTAAGAGAAGTGAATGCTTGGCTGTTGGGAAGAGTTGTGGGATTAAAATATGCAGAATCTAATGCAAAATGGGAGTTGTCACAGTTGCTTTATCCCAATGAAACTGTGCTTTTGGGAGATTCTGAAGAGAAGTTGCAAAGGTTGGTGGATGAATTTGGGAGGTTTTTATGAAAGAAGGAAATTAAAAGTGAACATTGGAAAGAACAAGGAGATGAGGGTAACAAACAGTGTAGGTAATGAAAGATTGGATATCAGATTGGAAGGAGGGAGCATGGAGGAAGTGAATGTGCGTAGATATTTGGTAGTGGATGGGTTTGTGAAAGACAAGGTGAACCATAGAATTGATGAGGGGGAAAAAGGTGAGTGGTGCATTGAGGCATCTGTTTAGACAGAGAACATTATCCAGAGACAAAAAAGGGGAATGTTTGAGAATAAAGTGGTACCAACACTCTTATATGGGTGTGAAGCATGGGTTGTGAATGTTGCAGTGAGGAGGAAGAGGTTGGAACCAGTGGGGATTTTATGTCTGAAGGCAATGTAAGGCATGAATATTATGCAGATAATTTGTAGCTTGGAGATCAGAAGGAGGTGTAAGGTTACTAAAAGTATTATCCAGAGGGCTGGAGGAGGGGTTGTTGAGGTGGTTTGGACATTTAGAGAGAATAGAGCAAAATAGAATGACTAGAGGGTGTATAAATCTGGAGTGGAGGGAAGGCAGAATAGGGGGTTGCCCAAGGAAAAGTTGGAGAGAGCAGATAAAGGAGGCTTTGTATGTGAGGGGGCTTGGACATCCAACAGGCATGTTTGTTAGATAGGAATGAGTGCAGACAAGTGGCTTTTATGACTTGATGTGCTGTTGGAGTGTGAGCAAGGTAACATTTATGAAGCAATCCATGAAAACTGGTTAGCTGGAAGTGGGAAGTACAGTGCCAGCACTCTGACGGAGGGGTGAGTCTATTGCAGTGTGGAGGGGCATTTGAGCTGTAGTATTGTCATGCCTCTGGCAAACCAGTGATGGAGTGAGGGATAGTGAAAGTGTCTTTTTTTTTTTTGGGGGGGGGGGGGGGGTCACCCTACCTCAGTGGGAGATGGCTGGTGTATTAAAATAAAAATTATGTATAGGATGTGCCCAATTTAAATGTAAAATAAACTACTGCAACTTCTTTGTATGACTTAGAAATAAAATTTTATTTTATTTTTTAAATTTACAAATTCAGAAAAATTCGTAATTATATTCACCATTTTGGTCGTGCTTAAAAATATAATAGTTACAATATCTCAAGAACCAATTGTTTTTTGGCACTGTAATTTGGATTAAAAAAAATTCAAAATTCAAAATTTGTTCATTGTCTTATTATATGAAACACGACTGCAAAGAACAGATTTGGTAATAAAATTAACCCTTTCAGGTTCGACAGGCCCTCTCAGAGACTTGTTCTCAGGGTTGGCCAAATTTAAAATAAAAAAAAAGTATATTTTTTCTTATGAAAAGATAGAGAATCTTTTCCCGATCACAATGACACCAAAAGTATGAAATTTGATGGAAAACTTACGGAATTATGCTCTCGCGAAGTTAGCGGTCTCGACGATGTTTACGCATCGGCGATTTTGCCCACTTTGAGCCCTATTTTCGGCCAATTCCAGTGTGCTTGTCGACAAAAATCGTAATCGAATGAGTACAAGAAACCACCCATTTACCGATTTCAACTATCCAATACAGTGGTCAGAATATAGCAATTTTGCCAATTTCACGCAAATTTCAAAAGATGCCAATTTCTGAATAGGGTCCAGAATAAACAAGAAAGACATTCCTGGCACTAAAATAACATTTCCTCTATTCATTAGTCACGTCCCCACGCCCCTCTTACATTCTTTTGCTTTCCACTTTGAATTTTTATTCTCACCAAAAAATAGAAGATTTACTGTTATGCAGACTACTGCATTAGTGTAGAGATGGTATAAATAATATCAGCGCACTTGAGAAAGAATATTAGACTCACAGTTGACGTGTGTTGGACACATTGCATGATTTGTTTACTTTTGAACTTTGGTAAAACTCGAACATTTCTGCTACCTTGAGCTCAATTTCAAGATACTTTTCTTTGTAAAACCAGTCAAAATCATCTCAATTTCTGTAATATGTCTTCCATTCTATAAAATGAGACCAGGAAAACTAGAATACAACAATAAATGCCACACGAAAATACAGTGCAAAGTCGCTGTTTCAATCCAAAAATACGGTCAAAGTTTTTTTTTCTCATTACACACTGTCTGCTGCAGGATTTTTTTTATACTGCGCCCACTGACCACATAGACCCATTCTTTCATATGTAGGCCTGCCAGCTTTCTCTCACTAGATTTGAGGGCGCTAGAATTTAGGCATACTAGTACGTCAAAAACCCTGGTGCGTAAGCTGTACTAGTACGACCGAAACCCTGAAAGGGTTAAAAGAATGTATATTCTTGAGGGAAGTTGTCTTTCATTATTGTTTTCAGTTACAACACCATTTGCATGTCTCCTTCAGATTGTTCATAGATAAATGGTAAGAGTTATCAATTTCTTAGTTCTCTTTGAACATCAGTAGGTTGAAAATTTTAATTTTACAGATATAAGAGTGCAAAGATGAGTAGTGGGGGGGTTGAAGAGGGTTGGAATAGTTTTAAAAATGCAGTATTAGAATGTGGGGCAGAAGTTTGTGGTTATAGGAGGGTGGGGGCAGGAGGAAAGAGGAGTGATTGGTGAATGATGAAGTAAAGGGTGTGATAAAAGAGAAAAAGGTAGCTTATGAGAGGTTTTTACAAAGCAGAAGTGTTATAAGAAGAGCAGAGTATATGGAGAGTAAAAGAAAGGTAAAGAGAGTGGTGAGAGAGTGCAAAAGGAGAGCAGATGATAGAGCGGGAGAGGCACTGTCAAGAATTTTAATGAAAATAAGAAAAAATTTTGGAGTGAGTTAAACAAGTTAAGAAAGCCTAGGGAAAGTATGGATTTGTCAGTTAAAAACAGAGTAGGGGAGTTAGTAGATGGGGAGATGGAGGTATTAGGTAGATGGCGAGAATATTTTGAGGAACTTTTAAATGTTAAGGAAGAACAGAGGCAGTAATTTCATGCACTGGTCAGGGAGGTATACCATCTTTTAGGAGTGAAGAAGAGCAGAATGTAAGTGTGGGGGAGGTACGTGAGGCATTACATAAAATGAAAGGGGGTAAAGCAGCTGGAACTGATGGATCATGACAGAATGTTAAAAGCAGGGGGGGATATAGTGTTGGAGTGGTTGGTACATTTGTTTAATAAATGTATGAAAGAGGAGAAGGTACCTAGGGATTGGAGGAGAGCAATGTATAGTCCTTTATATAAAGGAAAGGGGACAAAAGAGACTGTGAAAATTATAGAGGAATAAGTTTAAGAGTATACCAGGAAAAAGTGTACGGTAGGGTTATAATTGAAAGAATTAGAGGTAAGACAGAATGTAGGATTGGGGATGAGCAAGGAGGTTTCAGAGTGGGTAGGGGATGTGTAGATCAAGTGTTTACATTGAAGCATATATGTGAACAGTATTTAGATAAAGGTAGGGAAGTTTTTATTGCATTTATGGATTTAGAAAAGGCATATGATAGAGTGGATAGAGGAGCAATGTGGCAGATGTTGCAAGTATATGGAATAGGTGGTAAGTATTAAATGCTGTAAAGAGTTTTTATGAGGATAGTGAGGCTCAGGTTAGGGTGTGTAGAAGAGAGGGAGACTACTTCCCGGTAAAGTAGGTCTTAGACAGGGATGTGTAATGTCACCATGGTTGTTTAATATATTTATAGATGGGGTTGTAAAGGAAGTAAATGCTAGGGTGTTCGGGAGAGGGGTGGGATTAAATTTTGGGGAATCAAATTCAAAATGGGAATTGACACAGTTACTTTTTGCTGATGATACTGTGCTTATGGGAGATTCTAAAGAAAAATTGGAAAGGTTAGTGGATGAGTTTGGGAATGTGTGTAAAGGTAGAAAGTTGAAAGTGAATATAGAAAAGAGTAAGGTGATGAGGGTGTCAAATGATTTAGATAAAGAAAAATTGGATATCAAATTGGGGAGGAGGAGTATGGAAGAAGTGAATGTTTTCAGATACTTGGGAGTTGACGTGTCGGCGGATGGATTTATGAAGGATGAGGTTAATCATAGAATTGATGAGGGAAAAAAGGTGAGTGGTGCATTGAGGTATATGTGGAGTCAAAAAACGTTATCTGTGGAGGTAAAGAAGGGAATGCATGAAAGTATAGTAGTACCAACAGTCTTACATGGGTGTGAAGCTTGGGTGGTAAATGCAGCAGCGAGGAGACGGTTGGAGGCAGTGGAGATGTCCTGTTTAAGGGCAATGTGTGGTGTAAATATTATGCAGAAAATTCGGAGTGTGGAAATTAGGAAAAGGTGTGGAGTTAATAAAAGTATTAGTCAGAGGGCAGAAGAGGGGTTGTTGAGGTGGTTTGGTCATTTAGAGAGATTGGATCAAAGTAGAATGACATGGAAAGCATATAAATCTATAGGGGAAGGAAGGCGGGGTAGGGGTCGTCCTCGAAAGGTTGGAGAGAGGGGGTAAAGGAGGTTTTGTGGGCAAGGGGCTTGGACTTCCAGCAGAGCGTGCGTGAGCGTGTTAGATAGGGTGAATGGAGACGAATGGTACTTGGGACCTGACGATCTGTTGGAGTGTGAGCAGGGTAATATTTAGTGAAGGGATTCAGGGAAACCGGTTATTTTCATATAGTCGGACTTGAGTCTGGAAATGGGAAGTACAATGCCTGCACTTTACAGGAGGGGTTTGGGATATTGGCAGTTTGGAGGGATATGTTGTGTATCTTTATATGTGTATGCTTCTAAACTGTTGTATTCTGAGCACCTCTGCAAAAACAGTGATAATGTGCGAGTGTGGTGAAAGTGTTGAATGATGATGAAAGTATTTTCTTTTTGGGGATTTTCTTTCTTTTTTGGGCCACCCTGCCTCGGTGGGAGACGGCCGACTTGTTGAAAAAAAAAAAAAAAAAAAAAAAAAAAAAGAGATGGATTATTTTTTCATGAAAAATTCAGGAAATTTACTTGTGAAACTAAATTTTCAGGTGTGTTTCAATGTGTTGGAAGAAAGTGAGGCCCCACAGCGACATGTTTGTGTAGCGTGTTCAACAGCTGCCTTACCTTCGACTGATCCTACACTCAGAGATCATCCTGAGGTATCATTTCCAGTTTTAGTAATAATAATAATAAGGTAACAGAGAGCATGTGTAGTTCCTTTATATAAAGGAAAGGGGGAGAAAAGATAGTGTAAAAATTATAGGGGAATAAGCTTACTGAGTATACCAGGTAAAGTGTGTAACAGGGTTATTATTGAAAGAATTAGAGGTAAGATGGAGAACAAGATCACACATGAGCAAGGAGGCTTTAGAATGTGTAAGGGATGTGTAGATCAAGTGTTTACGTTGAAACACAAAAGTGAATAAGCAGTATTTAGATAAAGGTAGGGAAGTTTTCATTGCTTTTATGCATTTAGAAAAGGCATATGACAGGGTGAATAGGGGACAAGTATGGCAGATATTGCAATTATATGAAATAGGTAGTAAGTTACTAAATGCTATAAAGAGTTTTTAAGAACATAGTGAGGCTCAAGTTAGGGTGTGTAGAAGAAAGAGTGATTACTTTCCAGTAAAAGTAGGTGTTAGACAGGGATGTGTAATGTCACCATGGTTGTTTTTAACATATTTATAGATGGGGTTATAAAAGAAGTAAATGCTAAGGTGTTGGGGGGGAGGGATGGGACTAAATTATCGGGAATCAAATACAAAATGGGAGTTTGCATAGTTACTTTTTGGTGATAATACTGTGCTTTTGGAAGATTCTAAGGAGAAGTTGCAAAGGTTAGTGGACAAGTTTGGGAGGGTGTGTAAAGGTAGAAAGTTGAAAGTGAACATAGATAAGCGTGAAGTGATGAGAGTATCAAACGAGTTAGGTAAAGAAAAATTGGATATCAGATTGGAGGGAGGGAATATGGAAGAAGTGAATGTGTTCTGATATTTTGGAGTAGACATGTCTGCAGATGGGTTTATGAAGGATGAGGTAAACCATAGAATTGACAAAGGAAAAAAGGTGGATGGTGCATTGAGGTACTTGTGGAGACAAAGGACATTATCCATGGAGGCAAAGAAGGGAATGTATGAGAGTATAGAGGTACCAACTCTTTTATGTGGGTGTGAAACATGGATTGTGGATATTGCAGCGAGGAGGAGGAGGAGGCTGAAGGCAGTGGAGATATGTCTAAGGGCAATGTGTGACATAAATATTATTCAGAGAACTTGTATTGTAAAAATTAGGAGGAGGTGTGGAGCTACTAAAAGTATTGTTCAGAGGGCTGAGGAGGGGTTGTTGAGGTGGTTTGGTCATATAGAGAGGATGGAGCAAAATAGGATGACTTGGAGGGTGTATAAATCTCTAGTGAGGGAAGGAGAGGTAGGAGTCGTCCTAGGGAAGGATGGAGGGAGGGGGTAAAAAAGGCTTTGTGTGCAAGGGTCAGGGACATACAGGAGGCATGTGTGAGTGTGTTAGATAGGAGTGAATGGAGACTGATGGTCTTTGAGACTTCGTGAGCTATTGGAGTGTGAGCAGGGTAATATTTTGTGAAGGGATTCAGGGAAATTGGTTAGCTGGACTTGAGTCTTGGAGGTGAGAAGTACATTGCCTGCACTTTAAAGGAGGGGTTTGGGATATTTGCCATTTAGAGTGATGTCTAAACTGTCATACGTATGTGTCTCAGTGTGTGAATGATGGCGATTTTTTTGGGGGGGGGTCACCCTGCCTCAGTGGAAGATGGCCAGTTATGTTAAACAACAAAACAAAGTTCCAAATAGAAATTTGGAATTTTTTAATTCATGAGCACTTTTTTTTTTTTTTTTTTTTTTTTTTTTTTTTTTTTTTTACAAAAAAATAGCCACAGGCATTCACACATCACTATGATTAAGAAAAGAATGCTAGAGAATTTTTTCTTTTACCTTAATTTGTGCTCCACACCATTGGAAACTTGATGGAAAAAGAAACACAAAATTTATTTGTGTTTGTAGTATACAAAGTGACTGTGGTTTACATGTAATAAAATACTATTGTTAAGCACAAAGAAAGCCACTAACATGTTGTGCATTTTGGACAGACTAATACTAATGCTTACACACTACTTAAGATTAGACATAGGTTATTGACATAGGTACATATTACAATTAGTACAATTTAAAAGAGAGAGGTAGCAAAAATATTACAATTAGCACATTTTACAATAGTACAGTAGTATAATTTTGAGTGTGTATTAATGCTCTAAACTGATTTAGTGATCTTAAGTTAACTGGGATTTATTAAGTACCTTCAAACTGGCTCTGTGGTTTCTGGCAAAGATTTATCCTGATGATGATCTTGTCTGTTTGACCATCCTTAGTATTTTTACTATAATGAATGATGCTGAAAATGTTTCTTTTTTAATGGTCACCCAACCTTAGTGGGAGATAGTTGGTATGTTAAAAAAAAAAAAACATAAGTCAGGTGCTTTCAGGTGCCTTTAATAGTGTTCATTTTTTAGGATGTTTAGAGGGAGTTTTCTGGTAAATTTTAAACCAATTCTTACAGATGGAGATGTGCTGTCTTTACCGTCGTACTCTGATGTTTCTTCAAGGCAGCAGTGATCGTGTTACTGCATCTCTACTTGGTCAGCGTCTTGGTGTGAACATTAGTATTGCAAAGAAGCTCCTAACCCGACTCCAAAAAGACAAGCTTTTAACCTGTAGAGGAAGAGTGTAAGTTTTCCAGAGTTATTTTAAGTATTATATACAATTTTGTCACTAATTATGCATTTTGTTACTAATTATGGATTTATCAAAATGTCACTAATTATACATTGCATAATTAGTGTTTTTCTTCTGTGCCTTCATCTGTATAAAATTTTGTATTAGATTAAGTATATTTACTGTAACTTGTTTGCATAGCTCATAAGAAATAAAAAATATTTTTTTATCACTAGCAGGATGAGGAAACATGTAGTAGTACAGTGGACCCTCGCCTAACGATATTAATCCGTTCCTGAGAGCTCAACATTAGGCGAAATTATCGTTAGGTGAATTAATTTTCCCCATAAGAAATAATGGAAATCAAATTAATCCGTTCTTGACACTCCAAAGTATGAAAAAAAAAAAATTTTTTACCACATGAAATATTAATTTTAATACACACAAACTGAAGAAGACATGCACAGTTACATGACACTTACCTTTATAGAAGATCTGGTGATGATTGATGGGATGGGAGGAGGGGAGAGTGTGGATTCAATTCAAATTCAAACTTTATTCTCTATAAGTATTACAATGCTGAGTTTACAGAATTTGGTTATTGTGTGGTTTACATGTAGTAAAATAATAATTACAGAGTGTACCACTAGAACGCCTTGCATGGCTAGGCATTTCGGGCAGACTTATATTAAATCTTAGGTTTAAAATGTTACAGAATTATGAGATAAGTTGGTATTATGGCTAAGTGACTAAATACTTGTTGTGAGTTTAGCAATGTGAATGCTTTTGTTTTGGCACTATACATAGTTTCAGTATTGGAGTATCACAGGCCAACTTTTGACTAGTTAAGATTGATGGTCTTAGTGTTTAGAAGGGGAATCCCCTTCCGTTAGGACTTGAGGTAGCAAGTCCTTTTCCGGGGTTACTTCCCTTCTTCTTTTAATGCCACTAGGACCAGCTTGAGAGTCACTGGACTTCTGTCACACAACATATCTGTCCATAGAGGCCTGTACCTCTCGTTCCTTTATGACTTTCCTAAAGTGTTTCACAACATTGTCAGTGTAATAGTCACCAGCACGGCTTGCACTTTAAGCCACATTGCACACATTTCCTTAATCTTTGAAGTAGGCAACTTCTTCAATTTCTCTCTCCCCTCCTCCGAAGCAGTTTCCTCAGGTGTGGCCTCTTGCTGTTGAAGATGATCTAGCAGCTCATCAGTGGTTAGTTCTTTATTGTCCTCCTCCACCAACTCTTCCACATCCTCCCCACTAACCTCCAACCCCAAGGACTTCTCCAATGCCACAATGGATTCCTCAACTGGCATACGCTTCTCAGGGTTAGCCTCAAATCCTTCAAAATCCCTTTTGTTTATACATTCTGGCCACAGTTTCTTCCAAGCAGAGTTCAAGGTCCTCTTAGTCACTCCCTCCCAAGCCTTACCTATAAGGTTTACACAATTGAGGATATTAAAGTGCTCTCTCCAAAACTCTCTTAGAGTCAATTGAGTTTCTGAGGTCACTACAAAGCCCCTTTCAAACAGAGCTTTTGTGTACAGTTTTTTTAAGTTTGCAATGACCTGCTGGTCCATGGGCTGCAGGAGAGGAGTGGTATTAGGAGGCAAAAAACTTGATCTTAACCCTTTCTGGGTCCAAGGCCAAAATCTGACGTGGTGCCCCAGTGTCCAAGAATTTAAAAAAAAAAAAAAAAAAAAAAATTCTTATTAAATGGTAGAGAATCTTTTTGTGAAGGTAATAAAACAAAAAGTACGAAATTTGATGGAAAATTGATGAAATTATGCTCTTGCGAATTTTGATGTGTCAACGATATTTACGAATCGGCGATTTTGCTGACTTAAACTCCCATTTTAGGCCAATTACATTATTCCAGTCGACCAAATTCTTAGCTATTTCACTAGTATTACTTCTATTCTATTGATTGAGCACAAGAAACCGCCAAGTCAACTGTTTCAACTACAAAATAAAGTGATCGGAAATTGGTAATTTCGCCAATTTAACACAAAGTTCAAAATATTCCAATTTCAAAATAGGGTCCAGAATAAACAATGTAGGTATTCCTGGCACTAAATTAACATTTCCTCTGTTCATTAGTTATGTTTTGAGGCTTTACAAATAAATTCCATTTTAATTTTTTATTCACATAATAAACTTTTATTCACACCAAAAAATAAAAGATTTACTGTTATGCAATATTGTAATAATTGTATAAATATCATCACCACATTTAACATTTTCGCTACTTTGAGCTCAGTTTCAAGCTATTTCCAGTGCTAAAACCAATCAAAATCATCTCTATTTCTGTAATATGTCTTCCATTCTATCAAATGAGACCAAGAAATCGCAAATACAACTATAAAAAGCAAACGAAAAAACACTGCAAATTCGCTGTTTTAATCGAAAATCAGTTTTTTCTCTCATTATACACAGTGTGCTGCAGGATTTGTTTTATGTGGTGCACACATACCACATAGATGTATTCTCTCATATCTAGGCCCAAATTTACCACTCACAGTTTATCAGAGTGAGCTGAGCTCATGGTGTAGATCTACAGTTTGGACCCTGAACGTAAAGCCGTAGATCTACGGGATGGACCCTGAAAGGGTTAATGAAGCTCATGTCTGCAGAAAGTTGCTCTGCCACATCTAAAGGATGACCAGGAGCATTGTCTAATACCAGGAGGCACTTAAGGTCAAATTTATTTTCAATTAGGTAATTTTTCACAGTGGGGGCAATGCATGGTTTTAACCAGTCATAGAAAAAGTCCCTAGTGACCCATGCCTTACTGTTTGCCCTCCACAGCACACACAAATTAGCCTTGAGGATATTCTTTTGCCTGAACGCTCTGGGGGTTTCAGAGTGATACACCAATAAAGGCTTCACTTTGCAATCACCACTAGCATTGGCACACATCAACAGAGTAAGCCTGTCTTTCATAGGCTTATGTTGGGAGTGCCTTTTCCTCCTCAGTTTAAAGTAGGTCCTGTTGGCATTTTCTTCAAGACAGGCCCGTTTCGTCACAATTAAACACTTGTTCAGGTTTCAATCCTTCAGCCTCTATTTACTCCTAATTCCCACACATATTTTTCAGCTGCTTTGTGGTCCGAACTGGCCGCCTCAAACCCTGCCTTATCACACTATGTATGCCACTACGATTCTTAAAACTCTCAAACCAACCTTTGCTGGCCTTAATTCACTCACATCACCCCTAGTTGCAGGCATTTTTTATTAAGTCCTCATGCAACTTCCTAGCCTTTTCACTATGATCGCTTGAGAGATGCTATCTCCTTTCTATCTGTTTTTCGTTTATCCACACCAATAACAGTTTCTCAAAATCTTCAAGTCTTGCGATCTCTGTTTCGAAAACAAAGTTGCACCTTGGGCAAGAACAGCTTCCCTTTATGGCCGTTTTCTTGGCCACAATAGTAGCGATGGTTGATTGGGGTTTACTATACAACCTGGCCAGCTCGGGGGACACGCCTCCACTTTTCATACTTAGCCCAAAGATCTATTTCTTCATATCCATAGTAATTTCCCCTTATTCCTGTAGGGTTGGGACTAGAAACTTTCTTGGGGCCATGGTCCACTTATTTTGGCGAGTGAAATCACTAAAACGCTGTGATTTAAACGAAATGTTCCGATTGTATGCTTGGATGTGACGCGGAGGCTGGCTTGTAAACACTGCCACCCACGGAAACAAGTGAGGCTGACTCAAGCCGCACGTGGAGCATCTCGGATGAATCATGTCGAGCGAGTTTTTTAGGCTAGGGAGGCAAAATTTTTTTGGTTAAAAAATATTGCTAGGGGGTTAACGTTTGGGG